TTACTCATTCGTTTCATTTCAACAAAAATAATATCCTAAGAATAAAGCGATGAAAATTACCTACACGTTACGTGCACATGTCGGAATGTTTAACATGCTGTAAATTCTGCTGCAACTGACGCTACTGATGTGTCGTTAATCTGTCGTAATCACCTCAGGGGTCGCGATCAAATGGAAAGAAATTTGAAAGGCTGATGGCTTTTTAATTTGCATGTTTTTTTTTAAATGTAACTATTAACTACTAGTTTTTATCTTTTGTTAGTTATGGATAAAATGTTCATATAAAATGTTAAAATGTTGATAAAATGTTATTTCTAATAGTTAAAAAAAAAATATTTGATTTCTTGGAAATCATCTCGCGACCCCCCCCCACCCACCCCTCAATGTCTCGCGACATTCACAAGGATATTCACAAGTGTACATCTTTATATATATTAGCCAATGGTCAATGATCAACTTAATAGCTGTCTAGTCTGACATGAACCCACGTGTTTTGGACATTCAGTTGAAGATGGGGCAGTGATATCAACTAATCGACACCTGGCAGTTTGCTGAATTTAAGGAATGGGGTGGAGGCTGGATGATCCAGAACGATCTAGACCAGTGGTTCCCAAAGTACAACTTTGAACACAACGTGTTCGACCCGAGTCAGCGGAACAGGACAACCCAGAACAAAGGCCACCACCACAACAGCACAAAAAAAAGTACACAAAGTACAACTTTGGGAACCACTGGTCTAGATCGTTCTGGATCATCCAGCCTCCACCCCATTCCTTAAATTCAGCAAACTGCCAGGTGTCGATTAGTTGATATCACTGCCCCATCTTCAACTGAATGTCCAAAACACGTGGGCTCAAGTCAGACTACACAGCTATTAAGTTGATCATTGACCATTGGCTAATGTATATAAAGATGTACACTTGTGAATATCCTTGTGTTAAAATATGGTGTTACAGACCATGCTTGATTTGCTCAAAAGTCCAATGGCATTTCACTGCTTGGATTTAGATCTGGGAGACTGTTCTTCCCAATCACATCCCTCTGGGTGTTTTCTCCCGGGGGGAGGTGTGTGGCAGGCTGTGCCTGTGATCCAAAACAAGTCCCTAACCCCCCAGCTTCAGGGGTGCTCACTGCCTCACCCTGCCCTGTGACCCCCAAGCTTTATCTCACCCTTATATGTGCCTGGGCCTTTCAGAGGAGAGTAGGATGGGACAGGCGTAAAAAGAATTACTCCACAGGGATTAATAAAGAATTCTATTCAGAGGGTGGTGTGGTGCTACAGTAGTTAGCACTGTTACCTCACACCTCTGGGACCACGATTCAAGTCTCCATGGCTCCATATGTGTGGAGTTTGCATGTTCTGCCCGTGTCATCGTGGGATTTCTTCTGGGTTCTCCGGTTCCCCCCACTACAGTCCAAAATCATGGTGAGATGGACTAGAGTTAATTGCCGTAGGTGTGTATGTGTGGCTGCTGTGTCTTATGATGGCTTGGCGCCTCATCCTGGGTTGTTCCCTGCCTTGCACCCATATCTTCTCCGATAGGCTTCAGACCCCCACGACCCTGGATAGGTCAAACAGGTACAGGGAATGGATGGATGGATGGAAGCAAGGAAGGAAGGAAGGTCTGATCTTTTACTAACATTGGCGTTGCAGACTCCCAGTAACACCAGTTCGTAGGCAATACCCTTTCAAGCAGTTCACCCACTTTCTCTTGGAAGACTTGGTGCTTCTAATTGCTGTTCAGTGCATACTCACAAACAAGAGTTTTTCTCTCTGCGACTCTCAGTTGCATGGAGGTGACCTTCTTGGCCACTGGGAGAGACTCCAACTGTACAGCCCTTAGCCTAGACTTTTGAGTATCCCCAAACCCGCCTACGGCCCTTCACTAGTGGTAACTCCTGAGTAGAAGAGACCGCGCTCTGGTTTCACTGCCCACAGTGTGCAGGGAGGTACGGCCAAATGAATCTACCCGATGCCTTTCCATGTTCCCTACTAGCTCAGGCTCCTTCTGCACCACAGGGGTAACATTCCATATTTCACATTCCACGTTCCACATTCCACATTCCCCTGCTCATTGCCAAAGTCTGATTCCACTGCTTCCTGCCTGTTCATACCTGTCCCCCAAATGGCAGTGCATCTGACCCCCACCTTTCATCTTGTGGTTGGTGAGCCCACACAATTTATCCTCATAGGCATTTCGGGCTGAGGCTGGCCAAGTTACGTGGGTGGCCCCACCACTGGGCGCTCCTTGGCAAACACCATCCTAGACCTGGCACCAGCTTTGGGCCTATTCCAACCAGGGTATAGTTATTGTGGTTCCTTTCATTGGGGAGGGTTCTGTTGGCCTGTAGTTTGTCTGGCCTCTACCAGAGCCCAAGCTTCTGATGACATAGCTTTGTGGATTAAGGCATGCAAACTCTGCCCCACACTATACATGCCAGTATTTAGATATTTATTTATTTATTTGTTAAGTGGCAGTTAATGATTGTAAATAACACCCTAGCCTTATAAAACATTATATTTGGGATAGCCATGTTGAATAAAATGTCATACGTTTTAATGAGTGTGCACCATTTTATAATCTCCCAGACATGGCCATAAAAGGAGCCGTACATGATTTCAACAAAACAGCCCAAATAAGAGCCTGTTAAAAAAAAAGAGGACTTTGATGCAGGCGGTCTTTGATAACGTAGGAGCGAGTCATGGAAATGTTTCTGGCGGCTCGGTTCCTGTGGAGTTCAGTACGCCGGCTCAGCTGTTTCCACGGCACGGTGGAAAAACAAGACATAAAATCAGCAAAGGAGTGTTCCTCTGAATTGACACTTCCTGTAAAAAGATGTGCAAGGCAGCAGTAACAGTGAACACATTTTTTTTTTTAATTGAACAAGTCATAGGCCTTGAAGAGGAACTGCTTCGGTTATTAACGCATTGGTGAGGATTTGTTGCCAGTTTGTCTATGGGAGTGGCACCCCCTCCCCCCCCCCCCATGCACAGAGGAGCAGTAACCCGGTGGGGGATCAGGCCTGTGGGCTTGCAGTGAACACAGAGGTCTTAGTCTAGCTCCGAGCATTACTATCGCATAAACAGCGGCATTTCCGGAGCTATGGTACGGATGCTGTGAAAAATATGGGGCAAGGTGCTACAGAATAACCGTGCCGGTCTCCAGCCTGCCTGGGTTTCATGTAGCAGCTGTTTTCATTCAGCCTCTATGCTGTCCACATATCAGAGTTAGGTTTTAGAGGTAGGGATGGAATTAGGGTTAATCCTGCCCGATCTGTCAGTAACCACTGATATACAGAACCACCACAGCTAAATCGGTTTTATTTAATGTTATGAATTCAGTTCTTCATATTGGATTAAAAAATAACATAATTAATTATCTTATAATAAATAAACGTCCCCACAGAATAGATCCTGTGTGTGAACTAGTTAAAAGCAAAACAGATTTACTGTGTACAACATATAAAATGGCATCAGTGTGTGTGGCTGTCAGACCTGTGCTTTGTAAGCAGGATGCCAACATGCCGAAACATTTGTTTAACATATGAGATGTAAACTTCGAAGGCTGCCCCCCGTCCTGGGTTGTTCCCTGCCGTGTGGCCGCAGCCTCTGGGAGCGGCTTTGAGCCCCAGAGACCTTGAATAGGACAAGCGGGTGTAGCAAATGGATGGATGGATGAAAGGACATGACACACACACATACATACATATACACACACATATTATATATATTATATATATATATATATATACAATATATATATGCAAATGCCCGGCCAAAAAAAAAGTCATTTGAATTTTTATTGGGCCGCCTTTAGCTTTGATTATGGTGCACATTTATCATGGCATTGTTTCCACAAGCTTATGCAACATCTCATCCTTTATTTTCATCCAGATTTGCAGTCATTTCTCACCGAGATCCTGTATTGACAAGTGAGTTGAACCTCCATAAAGCCTCCTTCATCACATCCCAAAGACCTTCAGTGAGGTTAAGGTCACAACTCTGTGGTGACCAAGTCACGCGTGAAAATGATTCCTCATGCTCCCTGAACCGCTCTTTGACAATTCGAACCCAATGAATCTTGGCATTCTTGTCCTGGAATATGCCCATGCCAACAGGGAAGAAAAAATCCATTTATGATGGATGGAGGTGTAACCTGGCCATTCAGTAGATTCAGGTACTGACTTTACTTTATTGCTGCATAATGTTGCTGAGCTATAATAACGATCCAGTTATTGGCTCTTAAGTATTTGCTGATATAAATTCAAATGGCGACCTTTTTTTTGTCCGGTCACTTTATATAATTCTAATGTAAAACTCTTCCAAATGTCTACGGCTCAATATAAGGAATCTGGATTCTGGTCAGATGTGGGTGTGAGATGGTGGTCTTTCCTGTTTCTGCTGGACACAGGATGCTAAGCTCTCCCAGGAGCGATAGCAACGTCGGCACGATTGGTTAAAATGGCACGAGGTCTGATAGCTGGCGAGTGGAGGAGACAGCGCAGCGGAAGGTCGCCCTCTGCTGGAAGGCCCTGTGCCAGTCAGCCCGGAGAGCGCCGTCTACGCTGGCGCCGTGCAAACCTGCCCTGGGTTACTCTCAGCCTTTGATGTGCTTGATCAAAAGTCTTTGTAGCTAGAAATCAGCAGTTTGGAGCCAAGGATTTCATATTTTAAAATGAGGGGGAGGAGGCTCACAGTGCTCCCTGACCTGGCTTCAGCTGATTCATTAATTTGATTTCTGCAGCGTCTAATCAAGCCCTGAAAGGTCTTCAGAGTGTGAAGTTTGTCTCTCTCTCTCTCTCTCTCTCTCTCTCCCTTCTCTGTCTTCTTTTTGATGCTCTTATCTTTCCGATTCCCTCTTCTCGCTATCAGGCCGCCACCACCGAGGTGTGCTCTGGAATCCACTACGGGGGGCCTGCAGTAACTCCGCCCCCTTTCTGTGTTCGTTCAACCCCGCCCTCCTCCCCCATAACCCCTCCCCCTCCGCCTCCCCCTGCAGAACGACTCCTGGGGTAAGCAGTACTCCTACGCTCTCTTCAAAGCCATGAGCCACATGCTGTGCATCGGCTACGGCGCCCGCTCGCCTGTCAGCATGTCGGACGTCTGGGTCACCATGCTCAGCATGATCGTGGGGGCCACCTGCTACGCCATGTTTGTGGGCCACGCCACCGCGCTCATCCAGTCGCTGGACTCCTCCCGCCGGCAGTACCAAGAGAAGGTAGGTTTCCAAGCCAAGACACCAATCAGCACCGAGCAGTATGACTCCGACTTGATTTAATATAGCAGACTAAGTGCTATGGTGTCACAAAGCACTTCACAGAACATTTGCCAGATGGAATTAATAAAAAAAATCCAATTAATTAATGTGGGAAATTTTTTTAAATAAATTTCCTGATCCTTTAATGGAAGTTTTCAAGTGATACTCTTGGCACATAATGTCTACTAAAAAACAAGGGCATCACAGTGGCCTATTAGGTAGATGTTCTTGCACCCTGTCCAGAGTGTCATCTATCTTGTGCCCTGTGCTTCCTGGGACAAAAGTCAGACACACCATATATCCTATGCTGAATAGTCATTTTCCAGCACGTGGATGGATTGACAGGGAAAATACAGATCATAAATACCAATGCAATTACAACAGAAACCACTAGTATAGTGGTATACTATACTAGTATAGTATAGTATAGCAGAAGTTTCAGAAACAGAATGCATGTATGTCTGTGATCCAGTCTGCCGTCGGGTCATTGTCTCGGTCTCCTGCACCATCTGACTGCATTCTGTGTCCCCTGGGAACAGGACACCATGATGAAGTGAGACTCTTGTCCCCTGTGACTCTGTTCCTGACCTGCGAATTGTTCATTTTTAGACCTTGTTTTCCAAGAGTGTCTCCTGATTTCCGTTCACGCGTGACCTGGGTGCTGCGCAGGCATTGCTTGCCTGACATCACGACGGGTACCGGGCGGGGGAGGGGGGGGGCAGTCAGAGTTCACAGAGACCGCACTAGTCTGCCGTCGTCTCAGCGAACCAGGGCGAAGGCTTGAATAACTGGGTAGTCAGGGCTTTAAGCACAGCAAGCCGCTGTCCCACTGGGAGGCTGGTGGAGAGGACGCTGGTCTAATCCACAACTGGGCCAGGTCCGTTCAGTCGAAGGCTGGTACGAATGGAGACGTCACCTTTCCTGAGCTCTTCCTCCATGCACCTCCGTGCCTGAGATCCCAGTCTGGGAGTAGAGATCTCACACAACTACATCAATATATATGCTTCAAATTATTCACTCGTGTCCCCCTAATATCAAACTCTCTCCTACACCATTGATCATACTGCTTTCAAAGCTCCTTAGGTGAACTTCTTGATCTTCTCTGCCGTGGGCTGCACCATGCTACAGATGCACAAAAGCCACTCATGTTGCCCAGAGTTTTCCCCCTGGGGCTGCACTCGTGAGGCCAGAAAGCACTCTGCGTGCTCGGGGGGGGGGGGATTTCAGACGCCTCCTCCACGTCCCTGTGGCTCCTCGGTGAGTCACCTCTGCAGCCACACGCTCCGTTTTGGTGATTAGCGTGCAAATGAGAATCATGCTGGCTCACGTCACAGACCCAGTAATAGGTGCGTACCCAGGTGTGACGTGGCATTTGATGAACTGCTTCCTGTCTGCGCAGTGCCCATGCAGGTCTAGATCACTGTAGAATAAAATAGAAGTGTCTGTATGTGCATGTCTGTGTGGAGGGGGAGGGTGGTCGTTAATGACCTGCACGTTATTAAAGCAGCACACCGTGTGTTTGGTGTGATGCAGGGATTAAATCAGGATTAAAGTGTGTGGAGAGGATCGGCGGAGGAGACTGTGCCAGTGTCCACCTGGAGAGGGCAGGATCATTCATCTAAGACAGGGTTTTCCAACCCAGTCCGCTGGGACCCCCAGTCAGTCCACCTTTTTGCTCCCTCCCAGTTCCCTACCAGACGTGGAGGGATACACAGATCTAAGATACAATAATGCTGTAGCAAACTACAAGGAGTAAATCGGCATGGGATTCAGATCACGCTTTGCAGGGACTTTAATTGCAGTAATACGTTTGATGGCCGACGCTGCGGCCTCACGCCTTCAGGGTTGTGGGTTGGATACCTGCCCCTGGCTGTGCTGATTGCAAGTCCTTCCCTCATCTTTGTGGCGGCTTTCCGTGGAACAAAGATATGCGATTAAGGTGAATCGGTGTCTCTGAATTGCTCATAACATGCGAGTGTGTGTGTGTGTGAGTGTGTGTGTGAGTGTGAGTGTGTGAGTGCTTGCGTGAGAGTTTATGAGCGTGTATGTTAGAGTGTGAGAGAGTATGTCAATGTATGTGACTGTGTGTGACTGTGTGTGAGCGTGTGACAGCATGTGTGAGAGTGTGAGAGTGTGTGTGAGAGAGTATGTGAACGTGTGTGAGTGTGACAAGGTGTGGGTTTGTGTGTGTGTGAGAAAGAGTATATGAATGTGTGTGAGTGTTTGTGACAGCGTGTGTGTGTGACGTGTCTGTATGTGTGTGTGTGTGTGTGAGACATGTCTGTGTGTGTGAAAGTGTGTGTGTGTGACGTGTGTGTGAGACGTGTCGGTTATTGTCTGTGTGTGTGCGTGTATGTGTGTGTGTGTGTGTGTGATGTATTTGTGTGTGTGTGTGTGTGTGTGTGATGTATTTGTGTGTGTGTGTGTGTGTGTGAGAGAGAGTATATGAATGTGAGTGTGTGTGACGTGTCTGTATGTGTGTGAGACATGTCTGTGTGTGTGACAGTGTGTGTGTGTGACGTGTGTGTGAGACGTGTCGGTTATTGTCTGTGTGTGCCTTTGTGTGCGTGTCTATGTGTGTGTGTGAGTGTGAGTGTGCGTGTGTGTGTGTGTGACAGTGTGGCATCCCATCCACGCTTGCGGCTTCCTCCGATCGGCTCCAGGCTCCCTGTGACATCTGTCCTTATCTGTTGCCGGCTTCCTCATTAACTATAGTGCTTAGTAATTTTTTTATAAACCCAAGTGTCCCATTTAGCGGTGAGGAGATGCAGGGAAGTTGGTGCTTGCTGGTGTTCCCCCCTTGATCTGTGGGTTCGGTGTCGAAACAGAAAATATTCTGCATGCAGTCATGATAGAGGCCCTGCGATTACAAGCAGTCACACTGTATATCGCTGACAGTCAGAGCGGCCTCCCGTCCGAGCAGCATCCAAACGACCACCGCTGAGCGTGGATGCTCTCACTGTCAGCCTGACTTTGAAACTCTAGGCGCCAGTACAGGTAATTTGATTGATTTAACTCAATTTTGCCCAGCCTCTAATGGCATCTCTCTTTAAACGAGAGATGGTACCTCAGTCCCTTAACCTTGTTCTACAGTATGTGGAAATATTTATTTTCCCTCCAAAGGACAATAACTCAGGGGTCATTTTAATTCACAATAATAGGACCAAGGATCAAGGGCGATTCTAGGATTTTTTAAGGTGAGAGGCATAAGAGGTGCTATATTTCATGCAGAGAGGCCAGCCATCTCATTTGCCAATGAAATGTTTTGAACCAGTGATTGACAGGGGTCGGGGGAACACCGTGGGCCAATCGGCTTCCAGCAGAGGCCAGTGCCCCTGTTGCTCCCGCCCTTATAGATGCCCCTGCACTTTTAGGGATCGAGAGTGAAAGGAGCTACAAGTTGAGGGTGGCTGCACGCACGATGACGACTGCGTCTGTGCGAGAATTCTGGAAGGGATGGCAGTTTCCTGGAAGAAAGCTGTCACTCTGAGTCACTGTCACAGGCCGGGCTCCTGCTTCATCCGATATAACTGCCGTCGGGGTGCGCTGTGCTCCCGCACCAGGCTGCAGATAATGAGGTGCCGGATGTGGCTGGAAACCCTGGGAATACAGAGGAATCCATAATTTTCCCTCCAGAGGCTGGTGTGCTGGTGACAGAGATCCGACGGGAGCCGTATGAGTGCATATTGTTACGTGCCCAACACTGCAGTAGTCGCATTTGTACCATATTGACCGTATTTATTGCGAAAGGCCGATCCAAGACACGCGCGTCTTAATTGCACCAAGTCGGGCTTGGAGCTCACCGTCAAGAACGTCCACGGTGCACAAAGCTGGCGGTTTGGTGTCAGCGCAGCAGCCTGTTCGTACGGACGACCCCGCCCCCACTCAGAGCTCGTAGATAGGCCACGGGGGTCCCGCTGAGGATCGCGGCCCGTTGGGTGAATCTGCAAGCTGAGGGCAAGGCAGACATGCGAACAGAGAACGAAGGTCAGATTAGTGGGTCTTAATTATGCCGGATTGGCTCAGCCTGCAGGAAGAGAAGTCACATCGAGGCGTTCTGCTAGGGAGCCGGCCGTGCTGCTGCGTCCGCCACCCTACGTCCAGGCTTGCCTGGGGGGTTAGGGGGGAGCAAGCTAGTACTGCTGGCTTCTATTCCTGGGGAGAAGTGGATATTATGCAAGACAGAAGCTCCAGTATTCAGATCCAGGCACAGGAAAAACAGGCAGCTGCCTGGGGACCAATCAGCACACATATGTAATTTATAAATAAGAATAATTACACAAACTTAAATATTAAGTAAAAATAAAACCATATACATCAAAGTTTATGTACAGGCAGAAACATGGCCGGCTCTTGCTATAGGCAGAATAGGCAGCTGCTTAGGACCCCCCAGTTACCTGCATTACGCTGTGAACATCACTTTTCTTGGTTGGGCCCCCCCTGAAAAGGTAGATCCGATGATGAAGTGAGTTATTCCAGGTGAAACTGCCCCAGAACGGGTGGCAAAGGGAGGGCTATTAAGATGCTGCATTAGCCGGCGTGAATGACCCCCCCCAAGCAGAAGCCCCAAACAGGCTTCATAGAGAGTGGTCCTCATCTCAGCTTATACTCACTTCTGGCTAATTATAAGTTTTATTGCGGCATGTGTTCCGAGGAACACAGTGAAATTGTTATGGTACGGTGGCAAGGGGGGGGGGACAGGTAAAGGGGATGGGAGGGGGGCTAGACAGTGCAAGCAATATAAGGAGTGACAATAAATGTGCAATAAATAGTTTCTGCAGCGGGGATGAGATGTACAAATAGCCATAGAGGTAGAACAGTACTGAGAAAGTACAGAAAAAGTGGAGCATTACCAAGTTTATTCTCCTGATTAACTTTTATCACCAGTTTATAGTGCCTAACGAGATCTCTGACAGGAATCGACTCGACATTCATTAACTGGTTACTGTGAAGTGCGTAGGCTGTTTGTGATGACTTTGTGAGCGAGCCAGTGGGCCGCGTTACCGCTCGACAAAGACGAATCACCCTGGCAGGCAGAGGCAGCTGAGAGGCACACTGGGCCCCCCCTCTGGCGTCATCCCAGCAGCTGCTGTGCGCACTGGGGGCCGTACCGTGTGCCCGCGCCTGCCACCTGCTCCCCCTACAACACCGCCCCCCCCCCGCCACCCCAGCCCCTGGTGATCTGGGATTTAGTCAGGCTGAACAGCCGAAAAAAAAAACTAATAATAATTAAATTAGGCCATTGACTGAGTGTACGGCCTCCTGTCAGTCACGGCTAGCCTCAGTCAACAGGGACAAGTGCGGGGGGATGATTTACCAAAACTAGGGACGCCTCTCGGGAATGATATCTCTGAAGCCGAAACTGAGCCGAAACCACAAGCGAGAAGGCAGCCTCCTCACCAACCGCTTTCTTCCGAAGAATCTCAGGCTGCCGGATGGGTACAAAGTTATATAAAATAAAAAGTGTCAGCGCTCCGTAGAACAAGCCGCACAAGCTCACGCTGACCTTGAGATCTCCTCCTCCCCTCTGTCTACCTCGTTCCTCCCCAAGCTGCTGTTCAGCAAACGAGGGTCTATGCCGGTGACCGTTGGCCCTTGCCAGTAACCCCCACCCCCCACCCGTGTGTCATTTCAGTATAAGCAAGTGGAGCAGTACATGTCCTTCCACAAACTGCCCGCCGACATGCGGCAGAAGATCCACGACTACTACGAGCACCGTTACCAGGGCAAGATCTTCGATGAGGACAGCATCTTAAATGAGCTGAACGACCCCCTGAAAGAGGTAGGTCGCCCCTTCCCTTCAGAACTTCAAGTTTCTGTCCACCATCGTAACTCAACATACCTCTTAACAAGCAATGCGAGGGAGGGGACATCTACTATCCACCAAAAGATATTTAGGGGATCCTATTGCATTTGCTGCCTTAAGGTTTAAATGAGAAATGTAGGAAGAGTGAACAAAAATATTCGTGAGTTCAAACCCTGGTTAGTCTTATGAGTCATAGTTATCTAAGTAAGCTGTTCTCCTCACTGGATTAAGGAAGTTCCTGAGGTACCTTTCCGGGATTGTGTTGGTAGACATTTATGATTATATATGGCACTGTAACTCCCAAGTGTAAGTAATACGGATTTGCATATTGTATATTTGAGAGCCTTTACCTGTGAGCCTGTGTGAAGCCTCTGGCCAATCAGAATCAGCGATAATCAAGCTGGGAGAACTGAAAACAAGGCCTGGATTTGGAATCGGGGGCCAGATTTAAGTGCGTGTGCGAGCATATGTTTTTGGTTGAGCTGCATATATGGTCATACCTGTCAAGTTTTGGATTTGAAAATAAGGGAAATTTCCCGGCGCCCGCCGCGAACCACCCCACCACCCCAACCAAGCTCCAGTATCCCTTACATTTTAAGACAGGTGACAAGAAAGCTAATCACCACTTGTCAACCACTTATAAACTACAATTGGCTTTATGCACAGCTGCACTACTTCCTGAACTTCAGGCAGCTCCTTTGTTTCCTGTCTGCCATTACTGGACAAACTGATTAATCCAGGTGATCAGTTTGTCCAGTAATGGCAGACAGGAAACAAAGGAGCTGCCTGAAGTTCAGGAAGTAGTGCAGCTGTGCATAAAGCCAATGATAGGCCTACCTTTGTTGATATTGACATGCTGTGAACATTCATAGCCTAAATGAAAACGCAAAAGGGTATATATGAAGAGCATTTATTTAAAGGCTTATTTGCATATTTTCTGTTCATTT